TTTTTTTTTTTTTTCATTTAATACCCAAAATCGATACCACTAATGTCGAAGATATCAGGAAATATTTATGTAAAAATTTGCTTCCTACATTCAAGCTGGTCCTTTATGTACATAGATATATTAATTTGGTTCGCAATTTTTATTTTCCTTTAATACTTTTTTTTTGTTTATCTAATAAAAATACGTTGTTTTATGAGTTCAATTACAAGCCTGTTAAATATTATCCTTTTGTTTTAAGTAAGTGCAACAGCCCGCGTATCGATACCAAAGTGTAACAAATCACACTGGTCGAATAATTCGGAATCAATTGTGGCAGTCCTATAGTTTAGGGTTGCATTTCAAGTTCCTTTTTTAAAACAAAAATTCTTATCATGATTATCTCCCTGGTCTAGACAGAAAAAGGTAAGAATAGCATTTATGTTTCTAGGATGTTAATTTGGTAAGTAATACGTATGAATCGAGTAAGAATTGTCAAAGCTGTGGCAATGAAAATTTACAAGCCAGCAAATTCCGCCTCGTCCCTTTCAGTGTTATACCAAAATCCGTTTCTTGTATTCTGCAGTAAAAAGGAAGAGGCACGTGCAAAATTTTACGCATACAAACATAAACATAAATTTAATTAAATTTCTTAAATTCTAAAATTTTTTATTTTAAATAATTTGTTTACATTGCAGTTTGATGACTCCTAAAACTATGTTTTTTTTTTTTCAAAATCTCTGTGATCGTCAAATGGCTCTGGCCTGAAGCATTTTGCAACCAATTTTGAAACCATCAAAACTACAAAAAATACCTTATCATTGTTGTTTTTGGTTTCAAAATTGGTCCAGTAGAACCGCAAATTTACAAATTTCTGCAGCATCATAATTTCATGAAGCAAACAATTTGAAGTTGATGGTACAAACTTAAAAATTGAGTAACTCAAAAGTCTTCAGAAGGCTTAAAAACTGCCATAAAATATATTCACAGCTCGCTGCATTTCCTTGCATAAACAACAACTAATTTATACAGTGTAGTGCATTTGAAATCCCGTTCGCTGATTTGTCCGTTACACACTTTCATCTTAAGTAGAACTTGGACCAGATCATAAAGAAATTCCTCATGTTGACCTTCCGGTATACGTGATAAAAAAGGCGTAATAGCTCTCAAATTATCTACATACAAGAATTTGTAATTTCTTTAAGTCGATTGCAACAGTGGATAAATAACACAAACCTTTAAAATTTTGCGCGCCCTCAAAGACAAAGGTCTCATTGCGTACCTCCACATTACAGTCTACAAAACCATTTTCATGCAACAATTTATTATAGTCAGCCACTGGATCTTCACTGTTATACAACGGTGAAATATATTGCATAGCATCCGCCATATATCTACCCCATTTTTCTGATTTTGAGAGTTCCATAAATATTTCATAGAAGGGATGATTTGCGACGAAAACGAGTAGACAGTCACCGCCACTACGGCGCAGCAATTGATAGATATTCTGCAAGGCGCGTCTGCAATATATACATATATATGAAGGTATCGTTAGTGTGATCTTCAGCGATCTCAACAGGCTAGTTTACCTACCTTTGATTTTGCACCCAATTCAGGCAAAAGAAGGAGATGAGGTGATCAAATTGCCCGCACAGGTGTTGTGGCAGCTGCGCAGAAGCGATATCTAACACCTCGAAGTTGGCGCGTTCAACGTCACCATACTTCTGGCGCGCGTAATCGATCATACGCTCCGAAATATCTGTGGCCAAAACAGCATTGAATTTCGCCGGCAGCATTGGATAAATTGATTTCATAAGCACATTGCCAGGACCCGAACCGATATCGATGAGTGTGTCACGCCCATCTGCGCGCCATTTCATAATTTCCTTATACTCCTTAAAACTCTTCTCCGAATCACGTCGCTGAAAATCGCTGGCGCGGTGATAAAGCGAGGCTTGATACACGATATTTACGAGTAAGTATGTAGGAGCACTTTTGTTTATTCTGGAGTTACTCGATATTCGCAAGTGGAAGGATTAAACACAATTTCAATCAATTGCTTACGAGCGGCACTTATGTACCATTCACTTAATGTTGAACTTTTGATAGTTAACTGAACGCAGCTGTAGCTTTTATAAAGCGTATCTTTTCATCGTTATCATACCTGGGTACACTGCATTATATATTAAGTGTATTGAGCATAGTTGTAATGAATAAATTTTTGCTCATAAAGAAATTGCATTTTGATTACCAGTAAAATTTTACTGATTACTGAACATATTTAACTACTGATAGTTGGAAATCATAGTTAGGCTTATCTCCCGCATGCTGAACAACGGAACTGTCACAGCGTAATGGAGCAACGCCTCTCTCCAGTAAAAAGTGAGCAGGGCTACCCTGCAGGGAGGTAAAAACACTTTCGTGGTAGACGACATTTTGAAGAAAATGGAAAGTAGAAAATGCCGCTTCATTACCTACGTGGACGACGTGGCACTCATCGCTAGTGGAAAGTTCCTGGACACTCTGCCACCTGTTGTGCCTAAAATTGGCCAAAAATCTGCGTCAAACGTCTCCTAGGCGCGGATTTGCTATAAATCCTGGATAGACGGAGCTCGCACTATTTACCAAGAGATATAAATGGTATCATGGTAGGAGACGTTTCACTTGTGATCTCTGACAAGTTCTTGGGATTGATTCCTGACAAGAAGTTATAGTGGAAACCAGATATTGAGGAGCACCTGTGGCTCATTTCTGCGGTGTAAAAATGCCACAGAGATCAGGCCTCTCTGAAAGAGTTATATATATTGGCTACGTGAAACCATGATCAAGCCGATCATGTTATATGGGGTCATTGTCTGATGAATTGCACTAGAAATATCTATTCTTGTAAGGAAGCTAGAGCGCGTGCAATGGGCGACTCTCGTTGGCATCAGCGTAGCCTGTCGGATCGCTCCTACTCTAGCGCAAACATACAAAACTAAAAGTTGCCCCAGTTCGTTCCGTCATTAGGCTAAAAAGCTCTGGCTTCCCATTCAACTCGGCGTACGAATATTCGATAATACGTCAGAGCTTCGTTTTTCTTAACGGAATAAATTAATCGGAGCGTTCCCAGGCTGGCCCGAACGGAGGCTTTTCCACACACACATCCATACGAAGGAGCGAATGGCAACCTCTGTAGTAGAGGTCCAATAAATTTCTTCACGGATGGATCGAATAAAGACAGCAGAATTGAAGGAGTTGTTTTATGTCAGGAAATCTCAATAAATCTCATGTTCAGATGTTTCCACTATTCATATTCATATCCAGACTTAGGCGAAGAGATCTATCCTAAAGATGAGTGTTACCAGGAAAGAAGAAGTGCACTGAAATTGCATTACCGATGCAAAGCATGCGGCCGAAGTTCAGCTTTACAAAAATGTTAGAAAGCTAATAAAAAGGGTACCGGAAAAGGTGTATAAAGATTGAGATATCTGAAACCTAGGGGAAAATTGTATGTATTTTCAGTTTCCTGGCTGAAATATACGCGATTGAAAGATGCGCGGATTTCAATATAAAACGAAACTAGCCGCAATCAGATCTTTCGTCAAAGGAAAAGCAGCATCTCCCACAAAATCGAATGTGATCTCACTATATGCAAGGTTTCTGCAAAATTCATTAGAAGCAGTTTTAAATGTGAGGTTAGATTTAAAAAATAAACGTAAAAGTAGTGAATACTGTGTTGCTAGACTCCATAAAATGTCCTTTATTAAATATTTTTAGTCCGAAGTTCTAATTGAACGCGGTTGTTAGTTGTAATGCCATAAAATATATGTACTCAGATCCCATCGGATTTCCTTGCATAGACTACAACTAATTTGTACAGTGTAGTGCATTTGAAATCCTCTTCATTGATTTGGCCACTGCGTAGTTTCATTTTAAGAAGAACTTGGATCATATCATCCAGAAATTCCTCATGCTGACTTTCCGGTATACGCGATAAATACGGGCTAATAGCTTTGAAATTATCTATAAGAATTTGTAATTTTCTTAAGTCGATTGCAACAGTGAATAAAATAGCACAAACCTTTCAAAGTCTGCCTGCCAGCATAGACAAAAATCTTATTGCGTATATCCACGCTGAAGTCCACAAAACCATTGGCATGCAATAATTTGCTATACTCGACACTCGGATCGCTGCTATTATATAAGGGTGCTACAAATTGCATAGTATCTGTCATATATCTACACCATTTATTTGACTTTGATAGTTCTATGTACACATCAAAGAAGGAATGATTCGCGAGAAAAACTAGTAGACAGTCACCACCACTACGGCGCAGCAATTGATAGATATTCAGCAAGGCGCGTCTGCAATAAGTATGAATGAAGTGTTAGTGTGATTTTGACCTACGGCAAACAGGTGAACTCACTTTTGATTATGCACCCAATGCAGGCAATAGAAAGAGGTCACATGATCGAATTGCCCGCACAGCCGCTGTGGCAGCTGTGCGCATGTGATGTCCAACACTTCGAAGTGCGCGCGCTCAGAGTCGCCATAGTTTTTGCGCGCGAAATCGATCATACGCTCCGAAATATCTATGGCCCAAACAGCATCGAATTGTGCCGGCATAATTGGATAAATGTATTGCATCAGCACGTTGCCAGACCCCGAACCAATATCGATGAGTGTGTCACGTCCGTCGGCGCGCCATTGCATCACTTTCATATACTGCTGCCAAATCTGCTTAGCGTCGCGACGCTGCACACCGCTGGCACGACGATAAAGCGAGGGCTGATTCATGATATTTACTGTGTAGGTGTGTGCTTTCGTTTTTCGTTTTCTTGTAAGTACTCAAAATTCGGAAGTGGAATTCTCGAACAAAATATGTATATCAACACACCATGAGCACATAAAGCGGAGATAAAAACACTTAGCGGCACTTCCTACTCCCTTTTCAATCGCTTTATGTTGAATTATTGATACCTAATTGAATGCTGCTGGAGCTTTTATATCGATCCCGGTCGTCACTGTGATGAGGTCATTTGGAAGCGTACAGCACAGTGTTCCCGCCATAAGTAAAAAAAGCTATCTTGAAAGCTCTTCTCTGTCTTTCGAACGACTAATTGAAAGATCTGCTAACGAGGAGGTCTTAACGATATTCTTTTTGCATTTTAGCAATCAATTTTGTTTAAATAAAATAAAATTAAATTAAATAAAAAACAAATTTTCACGATAAAAAAAATGAAAATTAGAAGAAAATGAAATTAAAAATATTAAGTTATAATAATTGTTATTGTTACGGAAGCTTTTTATAAAATTAAATTAATAAAAAGTAGAAAAGTAGAAAATTTAATTAAAAAAAATAAAATAAACTTTATTTATTATGAATAAGGCCTAATATGTAATATGCCAAAGATGTTATGAAATGAAATCCCAAAATTAATAAAAAAAAAAAATTAAAAAAA